GGTGTGTTGTGGTGTGTGTGTGTGTGCATCCAAGGTTTCCTGTAATGTGCCAATTCTTTGCATGTTGATTACCTAATTCTTCTGCGTGCGTGTGGTTCTTATGGGACGTCGGTAAATATTATGTTGCGTGGGGGTGCTCAATTAATGCTACATATAGACTTTAACATATGTGAACATGGCATGCAGCCGTGACCTACTTAACCCTCTTGTTACAGGTCAGCCTCAAACTCGATTAACCACCAATTTCTTTTATGTCACCTTCTCTTTCAAATACTCTCCCTCCATACATTAATTACCAAACATATATATAAATATATATATATATTTAATACTATATAGTATATTATATATATTATATTAATAATAACACACACCATATATATATAATATTATATATTATATATATATAAGTATATATATAAACACATTATTATTGTGGGTAATGTAGCCCCCAAAAAAATCAAAAAATATGATGATCCTGGTCTGCTGCATTGATTTTTAGTTCTCTTTTTCTTAAAATCGTTCATTTGTGAGTCTGACATGTTGGAAGATTTAATGCCAATCATGTGGATGGATCTTTAAATTTTATCTCGTTGTAGTGTTGTTTTTGCTGTTATCTGTGTCTGTTCCCTGTTAATGCTCCTCAGTGATCCCTAGTACACACACACACACACACACGCTGGAGGGGTCTGCCTTGTAACGACGGCGAGCAGCTCCTGAGTGTAAATGACGGTGGTTATGTGGACGAGGAAGGTTGCATGAGCAAATGTAGGCCAATCATTCTGCTCAACTGCTTTCCTGCTGAAAAGGCCACAACAGAGAGGAGTCCAACACACACACAAACAGTCCTCAGCACACAACCTCCGCTGCACCTGCCGACCGCCTCCCACCTGCCTTTATTCTCCACCTGCCGTCTCTCTCACACTATTCTCCGTCCTTGTAGCGGTTTCCACTGTCCCCTGCTTTATCTCCAACTCTCTCACTGTCCAGACAAGACAATGGTTTGGTGTTGTATGCACACAGTCCCGGCCTGGCAACTGTTGCCTGGATACAGCGTGTTAGAAATCATATAAACGTCCCCCCTGAGGAAGGAATAAGTGCTTCTAATGGAATGGGGCTGGAGGGGAAGAGGATACAGTCTGGGGCGGGACAGAGGTGGTGCATTATTGAGGAGGAGGCTTTAGGAAACATCCAGCAGAAGGAGGGCAACAGTTGAACACTGCTGAGATTATTTACCTGCGTATTGATTTACGGTGCCAAATGTTTATTTCTCAATACTCTGTGATATCAAAGCGTATCGGGCGGTGGCGTAAAAGGTGCCGAGTGTCAATATCCAGCCACAAAACATCTGTAGAGTCTGAAGTGTGCAGCAGGACTGGAGCTCTTTCAGTCAGTCTCTGCAGGAAGTCGCAATAATTAACCCTGAATACAACTAATCCCTGAGCTTTGGGGCGACTTGAAAGTTTTTGTCCAATCACTTGCAGTTTTCTGTGCAAAACGTTGAGGTATACGTCAACAAACTCACTTCCTTGTTTCTAGTTGTGAAGATGCTGACATGTGTGACACCAACGTCTCACATAGTCTTTTTGGTTACTACCAACAGTGTGATTTTATTCTCACTGGAACAAGTTTGCAACTATTTTTTCACTTGCAAAGAAAATGTTGAAAAACATCACAACATGTAACGCAATGTTTTTAGAAAAGCTTTCATGAACGTTTCTTCACTGTGTATGGGAATGTGCATTAGTGAGTCCATTTTGGGTTAAAGTTGTGGACTTCTTGAGTAACTGGTCAGGCTCAGTGATTCCCCTGAGCCTGGAACAATAAAAAAAAACCCTGGTGGGATTGACAAGTGCACCAGGGGACAGAAACAAAAGTTGCACAGACTCACCGGAACAATCACATCGTCATAGAAACTCCAGGCCAGAGCCCACCGCATGGTCCGCCCCTGGCAGAACTCTGTGTGTGTCACTTTGGGCACCTGAGATTAAAGAAAATAGACGGTCAGGTACGAGTGATTGGAAATTATAGCACAGAAACCTGATTCCTCTTCGTAACATGTTAGTTTGTGGTTGTGGTATTATTTCTGTGGGACTTAGTTTTGGCTGTGTCAGTGTACTCCAAATGATATGATTATATAAAAGGTAGGAACCTGAAAGAGCTACAGCTGTTGGAAGAAATATGTTTGCCTCCATACGAAGGTTAATTTTATTCCTTCATGAAAACTTTCAGCGCTCTCATCTACGGATACTATTAAATACATAACCATAGATTAAACCAACATAAAATTATATTGCACAATTAAAACAAACAGCTGGAGCCACTGAACCATCTGGCTGCTTCGAGTGAGGCAGAGTTTTGAGATTATAATATATTTACAGTACGAGATAAAACGTAAAACAGCTCTACATAACCAAAACGTTTTTACACTGAAGCTTCCTCCTCGAATCACTCAATGAATCCTCGACGTGTGACGACCTTTGGCAGTGTGATGTAATGTAAACTAGGTGAGTGAGTGAGACATTTTCCCCCGCTGTGAGCTCCACATCTCTAATCGTGAGTGAGAAAAACAGATGTGGTGTGAAAGTGCTAAGAGAGCACTTTAACTATCCCTCAGGACTGCTTCAGTAAATAGGAGGAGAGTCATATAAAGGTCATAGGTCAAAGTGCTCTGTACCCGAGACTGTAACCAACATGCACATTTGCTAAATTGAGAAACAGAGAAGACAGAAGATGTAGTAATGGCTGATGGAAGCATTAGCATAGCATATAAACTAGGCCGGGTTTCTGTTTACACACGCTTTAAAATGACAATAAAAAACAGTCTTCCTCTCTGGACGTCAGCCAAGGCCGCACTCACTCTGATGAGCAGCGACAGCACCCTAAAACCTCTGGAGGAGCTTTGAGGGGATGGCAGGTGCAGAGGTGGGGCTCTTTTTGTTTATATTGTTTATTTTTTGAGCATGTGAGGGAAGTGACTGGCACGGGACCAGAGGCCTGCAGCAGCAGTCAGCAGTCATGTGCTGGGTTATTAGTTAGGCCAATGACGCTAATGCATGTTAGATACAGAGTGCCGTGTGATTCAGTCACGCACCGCTAACAGAAATCAGCGCGCTCATGGCTCGTTTGTGACGTTGCTTAGCTGGCGTATTAGAAAGAGCTGATGCGTTATATTTCTGTGGGTATCTGCTGCCCTGACAGTGACGACCGTCTGCTCCCAACGTCAATACGCTGTCCCAGAAGAGCGCCGGTTTGAGAGGGGAGGCAAAGATTGTTTTAACAAGCTATTATCTAACCCTGCACAGAAGGGGCTCGCTCCTGTGTGAACAGACTGAGATCAAAAGCTGGGGATGCAGATGTATTTGTGTGTGTGTGTGTGTTTGACTTGGTCGGTACTCACCCCTTGCTTCCTCAGCTCCTCTTTCAAAGGTGCCAAGCTACATTTCTTCCCCAACATGCAGCTGTACCACCTGCAGGAAGAAGAATCCATATTAACCAGCTGTGTGTCGCTGTGTTCGCGGCCCGGGCACGAACTGCCAAGCAGAGATCAAAAGGAGCTGAGGTGAGCTTTGGGGAGCAACACAAAGACCAAGTGAAACATGAGAGACAGGAAAAACATCCGTTTGGTCCACAGTGGAGGAAAAGCTGTTTTGAAGTCGAGCCCTTGGTGAAGGCCTGATCAATAATCTCTGCTGTGCAATAAAGAGATGAGGTTGGTCCTGATCAATAAGCAGTAGAGTCCAGCCGGGGAAGATGGAGCAAAGATAAACATCAGGGAGTCAGTCTGGAAGGACTGGCCAGTTTTCACAAACCTTGTTTTTTTCTTTCTCACTACACGTTGTTTGAAGCTGATCATCAGTTCTTCATTTAATCGGCTTAGACAAAAAAAATACATAACCTGCACATTAAGTCTGATAGATAAATAAATATGTAAAGCACACGAATATCCATGTAAACTCAAGGACATAAATCTTTTTTTTGAGCAATAAAAATAAGCTTTTTGAGCATTTGTTGACTTTTTCCCCCCTGTGTTTTGGCTCCCAGGTCACGGACTTTCTCCAATGGTTAGTGGAGTTTATTGGCAACATATGCAGCCTGTGAGTGAGACCACAGCCTCTACTCAAAGCTATTTATGCCTCATCTTCATGGTTTTTTTAGTAAAATAATCTGTGATTTTAAAATTAAAAAATAAACCTGCAACAATTTTTTTGTATCATTTCTCAAGTAAAAATAAGTTCTTTTTTTCAGTTCCACATCACTGTATATTGAATATCTTTGGATTTGAGACATTTGGTCGGACAAACAATAAGCTGTCTATGTCACTGGTAAATGTTGATTGGCATTATTTCCTGACATTTCATAGAAGATGACTGACAGATTATTCAGTTATGAAACAAAGGAGTTCCTTGTGTCAAAGATGTAAATACAACATAATCTGTCAAACATCAGGTCTCTATCAAGGAAACTAAATGTGATTTTAAGAAGGGTGAGTACATCAATAATACAGTAATTTACATACACTAACATTTTTATGTAAAGCTCAGTATTTGGTAAATGTACAAATCTACAGTCACACCCAACAAATCACAGCTTAAAAAAAACAGTTTTAACATTTGAATGAGAAAGGAGGGTGATTTGTAATCAGGTTAGGGAGGTATGAAGATGCCCAGAGGGGTGACGGGGAGGGGAGAGCGACGTGTCAGCCTCAGTTGACACAATGAAATATTGAACAGCTCTAATATTCACAGATGTTCCTCCTCTTTTTGTCACAGTGGGGAGGAACACCCAGAGCAGCTCCCCGGCTCTTCAAACATCCCAAGTGTGCAGCTGCATTAGCATCGATATTCATCCTTCTCTCCTCGCGTGTTGAAGCACAGGCGCATGATTAAAATCTTATTACCAGAGATGGTAATTTTCATATCAATGGCATGATAAATGAGGAGTATTACCTCACTTATAACCAGGGTTTTTGGGGCATTTGGATGTGTGTTATACTGGGAACTGAGGTGGCTTGCCCTTATTTGACGGTAATTACACTTCAGAGGAAAAAAAAGAAGGAAAGGGGAGCAGGGCGGGGTGGCGTGGAGGGTCTCAAAGGACCAATCGGTGAAGCTGGCAGTGTTTCCATGGACACCTGGTGGCTCTGGTGTCCCAGCATGCATTTGGGAGTGACAGCCAGCTCCAGTTGGTTTGGCCCGAGCCTCAAACCTGTTCAGTAAGACTGGGTTCGTTCTCACTTCCTCTCTTTGCTAGACGAGTGTAACACAGAGCCCGCACAAGAGCAGGCAGGTGTTAAAATCAGTCTCTCTCAGGGAAGGTTGTCTTTCCATTGACGCATTATACACACACACACACACGTGCGCACGCGCACGCACACGCACACAGTACTCTACTGTAGGAGGCCAAGCAGGTGTGGCATGTCTAATCAGTTTTAATAGCACCACTCTGCAGTTCCCTCTAACTGTGTCGCACTCTGCTGCCCCGGTGACAGCCCTGGTAACGGGGGAGGGTAAAGTGACGGCCGCTGGAGACACCCCCAACCAACCAACCAACCAACCACCCAAACACAGCTGTTCCCTGTGGGCTTCCCGGATACGACACAGGGTGAATGTGTGCCAAAATCATTAAACCAACTCTGGGTGACAGCTCCATCCAGAAACCCATCTGCCCATTTCACCTCTTGGTGTCTCTCCTCCACTGGTGCTCTCAGTGGCCATTTAAACCTCTCAAAGCCTCTCTAAAGCGAACAAAACTGCAGCGCTCTTGTTCATCCATCTGCCCATTAAGATATGAGGCTGTGTAACCCTGAATACGGACAGTTTCTGTGTGTGATTGAGCTTCATGAATGTGGTTTAGACACAGCAATACACCTGCGACAAGGGAAGAAAATCATGTTGGAGTCAGGTTTCATTTTGTCCTGATCTTTTGCTCACCGCAAGCGTTTCTTGAGCTGCAGGCTGTCATGAATGATCCTCTTGACAAACTCCAGTTCCCCGCCCTCCGCCATGATCTCCGTCACCCCGCCTGTGTTCACTGAACTGGGAGGAGGCCGCCGTGAGTTCCTGGAGTTTACCCCCTGGAGAGAGCAACAGGACAGGCAGAGATTAAGATGAAATCCTATTAGAGGCCTGTTACTATCGTGTAAACAAATAGTGTTTCATGTCAGGGCTGCTCCGGCCAGTCACTTGTTGTTTACTCTTAATGAGCCAAACGCTTTTATGGAATAAGTCTACCTCTTTTGAATTTAAATGTTCAGACAGGAAACCAGCAACATGTTTTCAATGTTAAAGGCAGGGAAACTCTTACCTTCGCTTCCAGCTGGTTGGCAAAAAAAGGAGGGTTGCACATGCAGAAGTCGTAAACTATTTCTGTCTCTTCTTTCAAGGCGTCCATCAGTAAAGTCTTCTGAGGGACTTTGACAACTAGGACAAAGATGAGGCAGGGATTTGTAAGTCTGATGTTTTAGCTAATCATGCTAAGCTCATCAAACAAAGGCTATATATAATGTGCAACTTCAGGATGTTCCAGACAAAAATGATGACAGAAAGGTGGTAAAATCTAAAATCTAATCTAAATCCAAAGTAGCTTATGACGGCTAATGTGTTCAAAGTTCAGAGAGATGCTGCTGATATTACAGTCAGTTCTTCATCGTCTTCAGATCCCTACTTGTTCTACAACCAGCATTTAGCATTATCCTGTAAACAGTCACTTGTAGCCACAGTTCAACCAAACTTACACACCAGATGATACAATAATCAAACACTACACTGACTGTTGCAGCGGTCTTATGTCTGGTGATACATCAGGATGAGTGCACCACGTTTACCTTTAATGAGGTCAGACAGGTTGTTCTGCTCCACGTTCTTCGTAGCGTAGTCAAAACAGATGTCGTCTACCTCTGTGGCGAGAAAGTACCAGCCGTTCATCGTGGCTCCCAGCAAGGGGTAGATACAAGACGCCCCAGTGCCTGAGGAAACAAACACACACACGTGTTTTTTGGCAGCTAGAGGATGTGTGTATTCATTAGGATGATGAATGATTATGACTTTCATTGAACAATATGGAAATATTTTGGGATGCTGTTTAAAGTAAATGGACTGCATTATCTTTAACTTTATGGCCACAATGGACAATAAATGTCAGTATTATTGAATCATGCACATATGACAAGGACAACAGCGGCATGATTCAGTCCGGGCTCAGACATAAGGCGGGCTCCGTTAGGAAAGGAAACACTCAGTGGTGATCCATCAAGAAGCAGACAGCTTCAATCTGCTCACAGAAAGATTCAGGGGTCCCCAATCAGTGACCTGAGGCCCTAACGAGGACACACACACACACAC